GGACGTGAAAAGTGGACATGTCCGGGCAAAAGAGGACGTTTGGTCAGCCTATGCTATAATTATTTGCATTACTATTTGTTTTGTCTTCAGATAAATCTGATAATTGTTGCTCGGTCTCTTTACTCATTTATTTAGTAGAGTGTCCACACACCTTCACCTTTGTTTTGTCTAATAAAGCACCTCCTTTCCAACTTACAGTCCATGGCACGGCTCGGGAGCACAACAGACAACAACACAGCAGCACACTCACTGTCACACCAGCTTACATGGCATATGCCCATATATGGGCAGTCAGAATTAGAACTTGTTACAATACTCTGTATTACAATTGTATTTATTGTGCACACTGGTGGCCTGCACCGAGTCACCGCGTTTTACTTAGTCTTGTAGTATGGATAGTAGACAATTTTTTGGAAAAAACAAAAAGGCAGCAGGAGGAGAGCAAGTAGTAAATCCCTTATGGTGTTCAGTATATACACATACAACTGTCCGTTTCGTTTTTTCATTTCCAACTGACCACACACACACACACCATCTAAATGTGAAGCAAATTTACTCTTCTGTGCTTTGGAGACTCTGGCCTCTAGTTTCCTGGTGCAGCGCAGGGTGGTGAACCCCACGCAGAGCTAGTTTCGAGCAGCGCAACCAGAGGCACGCTCAGTTTGGTAGTTTGGCAGACCGAGGTGCGCTGAGATGGGTGTGGCGGCGCAGCAGGGGGAGGTGTTGACAGATCCAGCTTGGCACAGTGACAGTTTCGTGCCAAAAGGCTTTGCCGGAGGTGCGCTAAAAGCTCGCCAGCTGAAACCACGTCTACTGTCAGCACAGGGGGAGCGCAGCTGTTGTAGCAGAAGTTTGGCTGACCGGCGGACAGTGCGCACACGTCACCAAAACCTCACAGGCAGGTTTCCAGAATGTCAGGCACATTAACGATGCAATAAATACCCCAAAAACCACTATTCAATGCAACTATCTGCAATCAGCACATAAATGTATCTCTATACCGACTGTCCCGTCACATCTGATCAGATCAAAGGGGATTGGCACCGTTTGGCACGTTTGGCACACGTAATGGAAACCCAACCTGATTTGATTAATACAGCTGCAAACTAATGAGTTCACATCCCTCTCAGCCAACCACAAACAGCCACAGCATCAGATAGGGAGTAAATATTCAGCATCTGTCATCTTAGAAAAGTCAAAAGAAAAGAAACAGAGTGAGACTGCGAGAGAGAAAGAGAGCGCGCGCACGCACGAGAGAAACGCTGTCAACAAATTGTAAGTTATGTTCGGTGTCTTAAGGGTTTACGTGCTTCATGTGATTGCCTATACAAATGTTAAAATGTTCTTGCTTAACGTGATCTACAAAGATGGAGTACATTATTGCGAGGAGGAGGAAGAGGATGCTGCTGATCTCTTCTGCCATGGCGAATTGAGTAAACTCCCATTAAGTCCTTGGACGGCACATTTAAGGGCGAGGAGATTGGCTCATTTGATTGGTGTGATGTGAATCGGCTGTGTAAAACCCACTCCATGCCTTCTCTCCTCCCTCTTTCAGACTTGTGCAAAAAAGAGGAGTAGCTGCACCAGCGTGCACGGTGTGCCAAACTTGCAAAATCCACCTGGCCCCACCCAGTTCGGTCTGCAAAACTAGAGACCTCTATCTCTGCAACGGATTGGTCATTTGAGTGATTGACACCTCGTTTGATTCGTTAGAGCCAATAGAATGACGCTATACCCACCAACACGAGATTGACAGCACTGTAAGCCAGTCAGTAGTCAGCAGAATGCTTCCCCCCCAGGTCCTAAAGCCCGTCTTGTCTACCCTGATTCATTTGAACACAGCACAACATGTCCGTTTACCAGGATGTACTGTGTTTTTCCGGTAGAATAAACTTTTCACGGCAAAACAACAACGGTAAGAGAAATTTTTACAACTATCGTTCGGCGAAACATTTTCTATTGTTGTTGTTCTTTGGCCTCTATCTCTGTGATGCTTTGGTGTAGCATGCTTTGGCGGATATGTGTAGAAACGGCACTCTCTGCTTTCATTTGAGATGAATGGCGTGTGTTTTGCATAACGTGCCAAAATATGGCAAGTGGGTTGGCACATCGGTGCTGTATGGAGTTTGATTTGTTGTTATTCATTTAATTGTGGTTTGAGCTGTGTTTGGGGCATGTACAAAGGGTTTATACAGCCTTGTAGCCCAGGTTCTACTGTTTAATGAGTGCTCATTCTTTGTCAAAATTCTCTGTCAAAATACGTTAAAATCACGTGTGTAGCAGGGAATTACTCAAAAATTTTACAAATGCTTTTAATTTATTTGCAAATTAATTTAATGTATTCGAAGATATTTTTTTTATTTGTGAAATGTGTTTGTGTATTTGCAGATCCATTTTATACTTGCAAAATATTTTTGTGAGTTTACAAATCTTTTTTTGTATTTGTGGAAGGTGTTTTCTATTTACAGATGACACATTTACACACAGATTGTCGATCTGTTCACACACATAATTATGAAACAAATCTATCTCCATACACTTCAGTAACAGTAATAAACTTTATAGTACCAACATAGTAATGTAGGAGAGTTTCACATCCGCATTCTGCATTTCTCTGTACTTTCACACCCCTGACCACAAACAGGAACCAAACCAAGTAAACAGATAATTTCATCACAAACCATGCCCTTCTAATAATTATTACTCTGTTTCTTAACTCTCTTAAAGTTATACTCTGTGCTGAACCCCACCCTGTTTAGTTAGGTTACATCGTTTCAGTGAGGTTACGTTAACTGTTGTAAGATATGACAAGTGGTTTAGAAATGCCTTATTGTAGTTTTATTGTTCATTGTTAATATGGAGATTGCGCTAAGATAAGGTTAGCCACTGAAACGGCATCTGTTGCCATGGCAACAGTAAACATTCATGTTCCGGGCTGGGGAGACGAAAGCAGGGTGCAGCATTTTCTACATTGCAAATACACCAGAAGTCAGTACCATCCAACCTGTAAGTGTCATGTTTCATACTCAAACAGAAATGTACACAAAAGTGTGTGCCAGATAATATACATAGAACAAATACACACACACTAATACTCACTGTATGACATTAACATAAAACAATGAATGCACGTTACTTATCGCTGATTATTTAAAAAAAAAAAAAAAACAGCTCATAGAAAGACTGCGAGTGATACAAGTGTATTTTCATTCGGACCAGCGGAAAGTTTGTTTCAAAACTCTGTGTGTGTAAGAAGCAAATCCACACGCGTAGAACTGAGATCCACAAATGTTTTTTCGATTCACAAATAAAAACTCAAAGTTCACAAATGCCTGATCGAAAGTTGTAAATATTAGGAAGATATTCACAAATGCTTTTCATTTATTTGCAAATTAATTTAATGTATTCACAGATATATTTTTTTTATTTGTGGAATGTGTTTGTGTATTTGCAGATCCGTTTTATACTTGCAAAATATCTTTGTGAGTTTACAAATCTTTTTTTGTATTTGTGGAAGGTGTTTTATATTTACAGATTACACATTTACACACAGATTGTCGATCTGTTCACACACATAATTATGAAACAAATCTATCTCCATAACACACACAGCTGTAAATTAACTAATGGAGAAGTACAGACTAACCAAGTGAGCGCATTTTTTTTTCTTCTGATTATCTTAAAGTGCGGTGTGCACCAAAAACGACCTGAAAAATGACTCATTAAAAGATGATTCATTTTAAATTTCCGGTTTTAAAGCAAGCAAATGTCTGGTGTGACAGGGTTTTAAAGGTAAATATCACATTGTATCACATCATCATCAAATCTATTTGTGATCTGGTGACTAATTACCAGTAATTACTCAGTAAATTTTGCTTTAACTTACCTTCTCTTGCAGTCCTGCGACTAAAATGAGTGTGCTACATTCATTAAATTATAAATATAGATGTAGACCTACAGTACCTTGTACAGAGAGAAGGAGGAAAAGAAACCCACTCGTTGCTGCTGTTAAACTCATAGCTGCTCCGCTCATTTCTCCATATTCATGTTAGAATGTAGATACTGAGCAATATTACTTACTCAGACGAGCTCTGCTTAAAACAGAGAAGGATGTGATCTTGAAAGAAAAGTCATATCCTCTGTGGACACAGTTGAATGGGGCAGCTGATAAAAACTGCCACGGCTTTCTTCCTCTTTACATAATTAACATGCATGAGCAGCTGAATCCCCAAGATGAAGTAAAGAAATGACTTGTTTTGCATGAACTTCCTTGTATACTGTAGATTATGAAAAATAGACTGTCTTGTCTGCTTTCATTTCCCACTTTTTCAGATCCTTCCAACCCTCCCTGCTGCGCAGTAACCCCTGCTGCTGCTGCTCTCCCCCATCACCTGACCTTCCCCACATACCTGCACACCTGTTCCCACTTCCCCATCAGCCCTGTTGTTAATATACCTGACCACTTTCATTTGTTCCTTGTCAGATCATCTACTGTGCTTCTACCTTAGTGGTCCAGCGTTCTGTTACTGCCTGCCTGACCCCCTTCTTGGATGAGTTTGCCTGCTTATCTCTGCCTGTCTGCTTTTTGACTTCTGCCTGGCCCTGTGAGTTAACGTGAACTTTTACTTTGATGTTGTGTTGCAGGGTCCATCCTAACAAAACACATATCTTGACAGAACTGCCTGTTCAGTTACGGTAGCAAAGCTATGACTGGACTCTCAACAGATCACCACGACCTGCAAGAGGAGAGTCACATGACTGGCAGAGGTGTCACTATAAGCTAGTTTCTGGGTATTTTTAGGTTTCGTGGAATCTGACAGCAGCTTTGGTATCACTTGTCCCCTTGTAGTTTTTTTAACACTATGCATAAACATGATGACAGAATGATGTAGTTACTGAATATTTTATTCAAAAAAATGTCTGGGGTCGTATTCACAAAGCTTCCTGGTACAAAGAGTTGCTCCTTGTGACGAAATTCTAGGAAAATTCTTAGAATTGTGACGCTTAAAGTTAAGACTTGGTCCTTGTAAAGATAAAAGTTGTTCATAGAGCATCTTAGCCCACATTGTTTGGAGAAACACAGAGAGGTCGGAGAAATATTCTTCAAACACTGGATGACAGTGAGTAAATGAAATGCCACAGATTAGATCAGGCAGGGATAATATTTGTGGTTGATCTCATTAGGTATCCACACACATAACCC